CCTGGCAGATTGCTGTCCCTGCCATGGGACAGCGGGACTGAGACGTCAACGGTAAGAGTCCAACTGGGAACACAGGGACACGCAGCACAGGAGTGGGAAGGGCCTCCTGGGTCACTAACACATTCTACAAACAAGTTAAAAAAAAAAAGATATGGAGGAACAACAGCAGAGATTTCACAGGACAAATATCAGAACCAGATTTCCTGTTCTTGCTGCTGAAGGGCTGTTCCCAACACTTGGTCTGCAAGTCCTCTTCTCATACGGCTTTACATATGGCTGATTTCTGCCCCTTTGCTTCTGTGATAGCACCATCTTTTGACCAAAGAGCAGTGTTTTCTTCCTGTGTTTCTTCTCCATATATATTTAAAAAGGCTAATCACACCCCTTATCAATTCTTTTCCTAAGTGAATCAAACTCTTCCAGTCTCCTCTAAAGATCTGTGTGTTTCCCAGATCACCCTAACAGACACTTTCTGAATCCAGCCTAGCCTGAGTTCATTCTACCTGAAATTTGAGTGCTCAAAACCACAGGCAACATTTCTAACTACTTATGTGCACTCTTCAGTGACATTCACACTTCCCTATCCCCATCGGAAATTCCTCCAGGGGCAGATCTACAGCCATGCTGGCCTCTTCACAGCTACCTCTCACTGCTGCTTCTGTCTGCTCAGGGACTCTCTACTTGTCCTGATATATTTTCATTTTCCAAATTTGTTTTAAAGTTTTGCATTGTATTCAGGTCAGAATTAGGACCTATAAACGACCCATCTCTGTTTTACTACTTAAGCACACACAATGCTGCATTTGCAATCCTATAATCACACAGTATTTTAACAAGTGTCTCCACTATGCAGCATGACAGCTGCCATTAGTCTCGAATTTCTCATGGCTTATGCGCTAGTTACTAGACACTGTACTCGCACTCATGCATACCACCTATGGTCTAATGGCTTTGTCCAAAGACTCTGTCAACTAAGTCCGCCCTCTGTTCCTCCCTAGGTGTGCAGGCACAACTTGTGATGTACCACCCACACAGAGCCCCAAAACAACCCTATGAGATCAGCAAGAGTCACTTGATGCAGCATAAGGGCAATACCCACACACTCAGATGTCATGCAGAGGTTATCAAGACACTGAAGTGACAGGCTTGTGGTGAGGAAGACACGGAAGCACAAGGCTTTCCGCCCGTTAATCTCAAGATCATTCAGGCCATTCTGATTCTAGGCAATGGCTCAGTGACTGTACGCCAAGTTCCATACTCATCTCCCTGACAGGTACGCCATACTGCAGGGACTATAAGCAAGATCAAACGAAGTAACACATCCCTTGTGTGGTCCTGATTAAGGTTCCTATTGCAGGAACTAAAAACAGTGACATTGCTTCAAAGACGTAGTACTGTCCTTGAGAATGGCCTAAAGTCAGATCCACGTTATGTTCTATCTTCTCTTGCTACCAAGTACCCTACGAATTTCCACTGTTACAGGATAATTACAAACCTAAAGAGAGAATGGAAAACATCCTTGATGTGATTAGCACACTCTGTAAACCAAAGTAGGCTATGGAAAATTCATTTTATAAAGGCACCAGAACCAGCATATGAATTCAGTTTTTTGAGGACAATAGCTGAAGTTGAGAGCTGAGCAGTAACGGTTCTCTCTAAGTGTTCTTAAATAAAAGCTAAAAAGCTACTATAAAGTGTTCTTAAATAAAAGCTAATAAAAGCTTTCTATTTTTCAATAGAAAGGGCCTTCAATCTTCGTGCAACAGACAACACAATCACATTATAGCTGGAGTTTATAAGTGAGTCTTTATGCCTAGCTTCTTTACAATGGCTTATGAAAATTTCTTCGTAATATTCTTTGAAGGTTTTGGTCCCAAATTTTGTATGAAACCATCATACACATCATTCACAAATTTCGTTGTTGCATCCTGTTGTTATAACTTTAAAATATTATTTCCTATTTTAGAAACAAAACTTAATTTCAAAGTCATTGTTTTCATTATTTTATGCAGATACACATAGACAATTTACCTTTTGATAATCGCCCTGTGTATTTCCAAACTTCTGCTGTGCTAGTTTTCTGATAAGATCTGAAAATAAGCAAGAATATGTCAGAGTTTTAAACAACATAAATAATAAAAACAAGGAAAAGAGGATGGTATGAATTCTACTGTTAGGTAAGCAAGACAAAATTAAGAACAGACATCAGCAGGATGGACAACACCTAAGTACTTTCATAAACCTGACTAGCAACAATATTTTTAATCAACTGTACATTTTATGAGCTCACAAAAAGATAACCAAGTTAGCTATCAACTAATGAATTCCCACTGAAATACACTGACCTTTTTTCCGAGGTCATCCTCTGGACCATAGCATCATTATTAAAAGTAAATCACAAAGTTATCAATTACTTGGACAAAGTTCGGAGAATCACTTTTCCTTTGCGTTTATGACAAGTGCTTACACATATATATGGAATTAGATACATAATGTGAAAAACAAGCATGTTAATGACTTCTTGTCTGAATGGTACAAGGAAGAAGGCCCTTATCTTGTCAACATTATTCCCTTTTTTTTTTCTTTCTTTACTTTTTTATTGGTCTCTGGACCAATAGTCTTTGCATGAGAGCATGCAACAATGTCAAAACAAATCAGAAACCCCAACACTTGCCAACTTACTGTGTGTGTGCAGCTCCATCTAACACACTGATTTCGAACTTACTGGCAATATAGACAAAATACAGCAACCACTAAGAAAAGAAAGTAGAAAGATAACACAAACAATGCCACTTAACATTACAAGTATGATTCCACTGCATCAGCTTCTTTCAGTAAAACCCAGTAGTTGCAACAAACGGATCACCTTTTTGGGACACCACCAGCCTACTCTTACCAAGGTTTTGCCAACCCTGTGGGAACTACACTGGGAACTGTGGCTCCTGGTCATTTCTGTGATACCTTGCACTTGAAGAGGTGAACCCCCAGCTCTGCAGACTGTCTGCCTCAGAGGGGCATCAGTGGCTCTGGATGTGCTCCATGCTAGGCTGTGTACAAGCAGCAGCGTTTGGATGTTTGGGAGATATGACTGACTGAACATCTGGTCTCCCCTAACCAAGAGGAAGCACATTATGAAGGAGCATACTAAACCTCGAGGAGAAGCACTTTGCTCCCCATGTTCACACCTCATGGTACTACCGCCCCATTGTTAGCTTCCCCATATGCAACTCAACGCACTTGAGAAAAATCTCCACTAAGTCACCTATCCTGGAGATCAACAAAGGACCTGTAGGTTCAAAACTGACTGTTGATCTCCCAAAAAATCCAAGCCCTCTCAGAATTTATTGTAGCACTCATGAAACATGTTCAGTGAATTCACAGGGGCTGTGATCTCACACCTCTTTAATCCTTTATGTGGCTCAGGAAAAAAAATCCCTAAGAAAACAGTGTCCATAGTCTTGCCTCCCCAACAACCTGGCAGAGGGAACATGGACTTGACTGATCTGCAAGTTGAAGAGATCCTGAAGAGTTCCTCACAGAAAACTATGTCCAAGGAAAGAAAACACACACAGCGAGGCAACAACTGCTGTTTCAAGGAAGTCAGTCCCTTCAAGAAAGCTGCAACCAGAAAGAATGCCAAATAAAAAATAAAAAAATAAAACAATCTGTCAACATATCATAGGAGTGTCAAATCACAAATTATGCACAGACGGGAAGCATATTCTAAAATTCAGAAAGAGTGCTAGCAGTACATGATCAAGGACTCTCTACAGTGCTGCGACCTCATTTTGGAAAGACCATACATAAGCTGGAAGATAAGGCTGAATCCCATAGTAACAGAAGTAAACCCCAAACATATCTAAAATAAGCACCTGGGGAGAACAAGAGAGTTACATCCCAGCAAATCCTTTCCAGCTCTGCATCAGAGAGTCAAGCCCTCTGAAGGAAAGGGCACACACCACTGCACAGGCAACACACAACTGATCCACCGCTGGAGCTCTTGACATGTCGCACACTGGGACCAGCCGAGTCCTCTCTGTACTAAGACCATCCCAGGCAGCATCTGTGTTTCTCTAGGAGTTTCAGTGGCAAGGAGGTGTACAGCCAAGTGGGGCAGAACTGCACAGACCCAAAAAAAGTAGTTCACACTGTCTGTTAGATCTTTTTTTTTTTTCCCT